GTTTGTACATAACACTATAATTATAAAATCCTAATACATCTGATGTATCTTAATTAAAATAGTGTCTGCAACATGAATAAATGGATAAGGAATAATACATATGTATAAAAAATATAGGCTTTTAGGCTGGTAGGTTTTGCTACTTGGAATTTTGTCTACATTGAGGGTATTTACTATATTATTAAACACTAGTGGAATGTAGTAATATCTAGTTTTCTGATGTAATCATTTAATATACTAGTAAGATAGATTAATAAGTAAGTAAGTAAGTTAGAAGATTAGTAAGTAATATAGGATCAGTATGTGTATGATTAATTCATCCAGGAACCAGAATGGAGAAGAGCATAATATTGCCCTTGGTGGTTATTGAATGATTCAGTGGTGTTGATGGTTTGCAAAACAATGGACAGTGCTCATTGGCTCTCACTCCATCTCTGTAGTAGGTGCTAGTAGCTTTTTAGCATTAGTGACACGTGCTATGTGGCAGTAATAGTCCTTGTTGTTGTATGCTTTAAAGTGCGGGTCAGCAACCTCATTTTCTACTGTGTCATCCAAATACTTGGCAGAGCTTCCTCAGTATTTAAATCACCGAACCTCCCTCTTTGTGTGAGGTCTGCTGCAGATTCAGGGGATTTGTTTAACTTTGTTTAGTTTAAAATGAACCAACAGTGCTTCTGATCCTGCCCTGTTAACATGAGCTTAAGTGGATCTGCATTTACTCAATTTGAAAATTGCTTTGTTGTTGCTGGACAAGTTCAGTATCTCAGTGAGGGAAAAAAAAATGTCCAGCCATGCAGATTTTTATAGTAAATATATAATTTAGAATTCACAGCATACAGAAGCTTTCTGTATTAACACAGCTTCAACAGGGACAATTCAACAGGGACAATTTTCCATCTATAATTATAAACACACATGGCCCTGGATCTGCCAGGCTTCATATACCACCGCTGTGGAGAAGTGGCTGATATATTTCTGCTAGTGGCCTAAGCTTTCTTTTTGTCTTGGCAGTATTTGTAGTAGTAGTTGCACAGATGGTAGAAGCACTGAGAAAAGTAGTACTAGGACCATAAGTAGACGTAGAAGTGATCCTTACTAATATGACTAGATTTTTACTAGCACACTGCAAGTAATAGTACTGTGATAGTACAAGTTTATTTTCATTCATGTATGTGTATTTCTCTGAGAAAGAGCTGTCCATCAATCAACGGTACAAGAAAGGACTGTGGTCAGCAGACAGGCTGAAACCGCCTGCTTTATCTGCTAACGTTTTGTAGCTATCAGCCAGAAGACATGTTGCTCTCTTTCTATATCAGTGTCTTTCTGCTCCAGCAGACACACACACACTATATATACATACAGCTCATGTCCAAATGTCTGCAGGCCCAGACAAAGACACAAGAACACATTCACACTCGCACATGAAATAGTTCCTCTCACAGACAATAGTGGTTACTCAAAGTAAATGGATATTATTCACCTCTGTGCAGCCATGCAGTGTTTCCACAATTGGTATATTTTTTTTCTTTTCTCCCTCATCTTCTGTGTTTTTTGCTGAGGTCATCCATCCTGATCATCGACTAATTGAAGGGTTGCTGGTTTGATTCCCAGCTCCTGTAATCCAGTCGATGGGTCCCTGAGCAAGATACTGAACCCCAAACTGGTGTGTGAATGGGTGAGCTTAGAAAGCGCTGTATCCCTCCTGATGAGCAGTTGGCAAGTGAATAGGTGAATGTTATTTAATTAATGATGGTTCTTTGTAGAACCACAAAGCTATTTTTTTGAAGAACCTCTTAAGAATCATTATTTTTCCTTGAGTAGGGGTTGTTCTGAAAAAAACAGCCCTTGTGCTTAGAGTGCTTAGCCAATTAATCAAAGTTAATTGACAGAGAATTTAACTATTTTGAAAATCAAGTCCACTGACCATTCTAACAGTACTTTGATGCTATGCTTGTAGAGAGTAAAATATTAAAATCCGAGATGTCATTTTGTCATGTGTGTTGACTTTGTACACATTTCCTTGTAACTCGAATTTGAGGATTTGCTGCTTTGCACTGTAAATTGAATACATTTAGGTTTTTGACTGTTGGTCGGACAAAACAAACAATTTGAAGATGTCGCACATTAGGCTCTGGTAAATCATGACATATATCCTCAAATGTTGGCTATTTTATGGACTAAAAGACAGACGTCAATTGCAGCCCTGCTTAATGTAACTGCAGTTTTATTGGTTTGCTGTTGTCTCTCTGTTGAACTGTTCAGCTTGTATCTCACCTCGACAGGGGTCAGACCTTTCTAGGTCACCCTGTCATGTGTTAAAATCCCTCTATAGGACACCCACGGGGCTTTTCAGAAAATGACATTAAAATCTGCCTCAAGGGCGTTGCTATGGAAACCATATCAGCCAGACCACAGAGATGCACTATATGCAATGATATGTACACAGTAAAATGTCATATTGTGTGTGCAGATTGTACATGCATGGAAGCCACCATATGGCTGCGCTCCCATACATACACACACGTTTAATTCGCTGTGGCACACAAACACACACACACCAACACCACCATATGGTTACTTTCTCATACTTGACTGTACAAAAACTTTATTTGTTCTTCTTCTAGAGTTGAACAAATGCAGAAAACACGCTTAGAACACACACACTTGTATGCATTTGTGTGTACAGATCAATAAGGTTGGAGGTAGTGTGCCTTTTGATTTTGTCTGCAGAACATGGGGTGTGTGTGTGTGTGTGTGTGTGTGTGTGTGAGAGAGATCATTGTTTATATTTTTCAGGTCAGTTGAGCTGTCTGTCTTGCATTTTCTGACTGCTGGTTTGTTATGATTGATGCGCTCTGTTGTTAACCTCAGGCGTTACACACACACACACACACACACACACACACACACACACACACACACACACACACACACACACACACACACACACACACACATCCTACTGATGCAGCAGTCTTATCCCTAAGGCAGGCTACAAGTTTTTACTGTACCATTGTTGCCTCTTTCTGGTCTGGTCTTTTCACACTCTCTCTTTCTCTTCCTCTCTTGCTGGGTTTCTTGCTCTCCATCAGGGTTACTTGAGGACAGAGTTAGTTGGTTTCACTACAGCTGGGTTTGTTCACTGCAGTACAGAACACCACAGCACCGTCTAATGTATCACACCTCCAATGGGATAAGGACACACACTCACTCACTCACTCACTCACTCACTCACTCACTCAAATGTGTGATTGCGTATTGGGGCTGAACAGCGACCAGACAGGATTACTATAAGACACTAGTTTGTTTCAGGCCGCAGCATAATAGACATGCATGCACACACATTTCACTTCTGACTGCATGACTTCTAGAATACCTTTCTACACTGGCTTTCTTCTTGGAACTATTTTCTTCTTTCTGCAGCCGATCAGTACTCCAATGCACCTCACTGTTGCTTTCCCAGTGGCAGTAAAACATTCTTTTATTTTATCATCATGAATAATTCAAAATAATGCGTCAATATTTGAATTTTTTTTGCACAGGATAGGAAATATGATGTGTGCCGGGAGGGCAAAAAAATGGCGTAAATGGAATAAGAAGGGCTATTATTCACAGCATGATCAAAGATACACTTATGTAGATTATTATAAAACTTAAAAATAGTATAACTATGAAGGAGATGTTATGCTGTAAGGTAGGAGACAAGTTTGAAGAGCTTGAAAGAGAGGAAATCTGTGAATTAGTTTGGAAATAAGAAAGCAGTATTCTAAAATGAGAAGGTGAAGTTTCTGAAATAGCCACATTGATCTTGTAGCACTGATTCATCCTTTCATCCAGACACTTGTCATGTGATCCTATTTGTTTTATTTTCTCTCATCTATTTGACGAGTCATCCCGTCATATGTTTTAAGCACCCATTTGGCCGTCATTTATTCGCTTGCCAAAGAGGAAGCCTTGTGGTTGTTCTGGTGAAAGCTTACACTCTTTCTTGCTTAAGTGCATATGGCCTGTGGACCCTGAAGAGCCAGTCATTGCCTTTGTAGTTTCTGAGGGCTTCAAGTGGGCATCTCTGCATCGCTGTCTTTCTGTACTCTCATCTTGCAGATACAGTGCATCGTTTATTTTCATATTAAAAATTCATGCGTGGGAATTTAATCATAGTTCATGTGTGGTTAAGGTTAGGCTGCTGGAACTGCTGAGTGGAGCTTTCCTAATCATTTCCCCTCATTGGAGTGAAGTGAAAGCAACTTCCTCTCTGCAGCTTCCTGGCAGAAGGATGAGCAGCGTAAACAGCCGGCGCCTTATATGGACACTGGCTGTAATACAGACTGTGTGTTTGTGTGTGTGTTCACTATGTGTGAAGAATATTTATAGAAGTCTGATAGGAGGACATACGCACAGCTGGCATAAGCTCTCCCAGTAGTGCAACGGTTAGAGGGTCTTTACAAAGCCCTAATATGTTAGGATTCAGGTATTCTTCAACAATCAGCATTACTGTCTTAAACAGTTCCCTAAGTTCATAACGTTGTGTGTGTGTGTGTGTGTGTGTGTGTGTGGTGTGTGTGTGTGTGTTCCAGTGCTGTGTCATGTTTGCATGCTTCTTATAGCAGTAAAGTGAGCTCTTTATCATAAATTGTCATACTGAGATCAGTCATACTGATCTTGGCTTATTTGTTCATTCAGATTAAGATTCTGGTCCTAAGTACATCAACATTTTGAGAATGATGTAGATCTATTCATATTCCTGTGTAACACCATTTGCTGGCGAGTCCTTATTGTTTAAGGATCCTTCTCGAGTTCTCTTAATAGGGCACTGTTAGCAGCAGAATGTTACAGTGAAGATGAGACTGGAAAACAACAAAACCAGGAACAAAGAACATTTTTAGTTTAAATACGGGCTCCATTATGGGCCAAAGTGGTAACTATGCTCACAACCAAACCTTCAACTGTGTCTTATGTATTGATCCATTCATTTAGTTGCATTTTCTCCTTTTCTACAGATCAATGTGCGCGTCACCACCATGGACGCTGAGCTGGAGTTTGCCATCCAGCCCAACACGACAGGCAAACAGCTCTTTGACCAGGTGAGACATGCATTCACTTTGGACCATGGTCCATGAGTAGACTGTGAGGACAAACACTTCTACAGCAGATAGAAGGGTGCAAAAAATACATATAGACGGGAGTAGAGAGTCAGAATTCAAATTCAACTTTGGTCTTTCAGAGTGAACTCTGTGACCTGCTGGAAGAATCAAATTGTTTGTTATCCATTACTAATGAAAAGCAATACTGAGAGTGTGTGTGTGTGTGTGTGTGTGTGTGTGCCAGTGGGTGCTTGGCTGGGTTTAGGTTGGTACTGGTTCTGTGGAAAGATGGCACACAAAGGTGCTCTTTGTCTAAACTGGGAGCTTTTAGGAGACAGTGGATGTACGTGTTGGGTTGATGGTGTGGGTCTGTGTGTGAATGTGTGTCTGGGAAGTAAAAGGGCAGCTTTCAGCATTGTTTCATGTCAGGCTCTAAAGGTTTGTTGGGCTTGTGGCGACAAAATGAAAGAGAACATCTTTCTTTTCTGTTTTTGTTGTTGTTGTTGTTTTGTTGCTTTATAGTATGAGATCAAATGACAGAATTGCTTTTAAGGCTGTGCAAGACAGACTAATGACGTGTTGCTGTGTGAGGGGAGAGTCATGAGAGTCTGTACATTTTATTGTCCAATCAAACTCTGGTGTTCAGACATCAGATTTGTTTGTTTTTCCTCCTGTTGTGGATTTCCACTAATAGCTTTTAGAGTCATACCACTAAATAAGAAATTGTCTTCTGTCTAGTGCATGGCTCTGGGGATGGTTGTCTTAGTTAGCCAGTCCATCACTTTGGTCAAGACTGAAATATCTCAACTATTGAACTGTGTTTGATGAAATTTGTGCAGACATTCATGTTCTCCTCAGTAGGTATTATGAAAGTATCATGTCTTCAACTTAAACAAACTTACTTTACTAACAGTGCTACAATTTGTAGTACTGTAGTAGTCTTACAATTTGGTCAAAATCCAATGACAGCTGCTAATTAGCAAATGTTAGCTTATAACAGCATATTAGTGTTGTCATAGTAAACCTTCTAGTTATTTAATTAGTGAGGGTTCTTTGTAGAACCACAAAGCTATTTTTTTTAAGAACCTCTGAAGAATCATTATTTTTCCTTGAGTAGGGGTTGTTGAAAAAAATAATCAACCACATTGAAGATAGTGAAAATATTCATTGGTTCCGTTTTAATCCCAACCAGACTTGAGGAAGGTGCAAGGCCAACTGACAACTAGGAGAGAGAGGAGTAAAGACAGAAAGTGAAAAGTGAGTGAGCTGACGGGTGTAGAAGTAACGATAGACCTCAGTGGTGGGTGACGCTGTGAAGTTTCAAATGTCCATCATCAACTAAAAATAGACATAGATAAAATAGATATCCCCTCTTTGAAAAAGACAGAATGAGCATTAGCAAAGCACAAAATTAGGTTTTGTTAAAATGATGTGAGATATCCCTGAAGAATACTTTAAGTTTTTGGGAATTTGTAGATCACGAGTGGACGAGGACAGCATGAACAAGTGAGATGGGATACATTACTAATGCTGAACGTGATGCCGGCACTTCAATATGCATATTGAAAACTGATCAGCTTCAACTAGCAGCTTTCCTTCAGCATGCACTTGTTCAGTGTTTTGGTATGAAAACATTCACGTCTCTACATACAGCTCAGGAATTCACATGTCCCTCAGTGAATGGTGAGTTCTGTGATAATGTGTCATGCAAGAGGCGGCCTTCCAATGGTCCTGAGAGCTGTTTCATTTTTAAATTAAATGATGCAGATTCATGTGAATGAAGAGAGAGCTCCATTCATAGTGAGTCTGTGGAGCTAAATATAAACACCCTTAAGCTCACTCAAACGCACACAGAATGATAAAAGGCCTTAGTGAGATAGGAAAGCTTTTTAATCAAACACCAAAATGTAAGCCTCTGAACATGAACACTTTGATGGACCACAATCACACACTTTTAAAGTTATCTTTATAAAGTGTGTGTGATGATAAGTGTTTTTATCATTCATGAAAGTAAGGAGTCCTATTCACTCCCAATGAGCTTGATCTTTCTGCCCCTTTTATGTTGCCCATTTTTTCTCTTCTCTCTTCCACTTATTATTCCTTCTCTCTCATCCCGATGTTCCCAAATCATTCATCCACATTCTAAGGCTTCTAAATTTGCACGCTGAGCTCTCAGCATCTGCGTAGCTGTCGCTGCATACCGCATTCCCAGCCCCACTGGAGGCGCTCTGCGTTTGCGTGGGTGTGTGTGCAAATATGATTGATTGTACAGTTATAATTTCAACGGCGTGTTTAGGATGGGTTTTTCAGTGTGTTTTTGCATTTATTTATGCCTGTGCTTATTCAAAACACATTATTTAATGTGTTTATGTGAGCATGTCTTTCTGAGTGTGAGAGTTAATTAATTATATGGTCAGTGGGTGTCGTCTTATTGACTGTGTAAATCACATTAGGTCCTGGGGAAGCATCTGCATCCCCTCGGGGACTCCCTCACTCTCTCTCTCTGTAAATAGAGGAACGGTTTGTGAATGACAAAGAATGTGAGCGTGTTTGAGAGAGTATGAAGGGAAGACCGATTAAGAAGTGAAGGGGGACGACTCAAAGATGGAAGACAGGGAATGAAAGAAGGGAGAATTCAGAGTGAAGCTTGTTGAGCATCATCAAACTGTTAACTTGCAGTTCTAGAGCAGTTTTCCCACGGTAATGGGATCTCCTATTGCTGATCTGTTTGGATGTGTGTGCATTTTTTATGGCAACATCAATTAATCATAAATAACTGGACACACTGTGTCCTCATCATTTTATGTACATTTGTGTTACAACCATATAGACAACCATATTTAAGACAGAATAGTGTGCTTTGAATTTTTCATCATATCCTGTAAACTGATAAAAACAACAGTGACACATTTGCGTCATTTCAGGTGGTGAAGACGGTGGGTCTGAGGGAGGTCTGGTTCTTTGGCCTGCAGTACACAGACAGTAAAGGCTACGTCACGTGGCTCAAACTCAACAAAAAGGTGAGACACCCTGAACACAACCTATCAAAGATGTCCTGCCCATGTGAACACTTCTAGTTCATTTATTTATTTGTGTTTTTATCATTTGTGCTGATACATTAATTCCCACAACCTTGTGTGTATAATGTTACTTAAATATTCTGTTTTGTAGAAGCTTTAATGCAAAGTGCCTAAAACCAGCATCAGTAAAATGCATCAATCTGTGTATCTTTAATCTTGTTTTAAATGAAACCTCAGATTTCCTCGAGACAGTCGTATGTTTACATACTGTAAATAGATAAATAAATAAATATGATGGCAGGGTGTGAAGGGTGTGAGATGAAATGTCGTGTGTGGGTGTTCTCTCCAGGTGACCCAGCAGGATGTGAAGAAGGAGAATCCTCTGCAGTTTAAGTTCAGAGCAAAGTTCTTCCCAGAAGATGTTTCTGAGGAACTCATCCAGGAGATTACACAGAAACTCTTCTTCCTGCAGGTACTGAAACACTGATAGATTACTGGTCAACAAAAATGATACTAAGAGCAGGTGGACATGAGCTGTGATTTTCAGCTGTTGTCGTGTAAGCAGGATTTCGGATCTTAAGGTGAGAATTTGTCAACTGTCCGGTAAAATAAAAATAAAAAGTTTGTCAACTACTACCGACTATTAGGGCCACTGTTAGACAAAAAATAATAGTAATTGAGACTTTGAGAATTAAGTCATAATTGAACAGGTTGCTTTAAGTCATATGTGCATGTTAGTATTTCCTGGCAGTCTACAGTTATTTAGACTTGTAAAAGCTCTGTGTCACTCCTGCCTCTGGATCCACCTCACTTAGAGGCACGTTTGCTCTAGGACTGCCTCACCGCTCCAGGATGCTTTCCATTGAAGTGGCTGTGGGCTGCACTTTATCGGAGGCACTACTTCTGCCTGATCAGAAGTGTTTTCAGTTAGTTTGGGTTTTCCACTTCCGATGAAGAGCAGCACACTTGTCTCATCCAGTACAGTCCCAAACCAGGTCATATCAGCAGATTAGTAACGTAGGCCAGACGGCCTATAAAGCAAGTAGAGTTAAAATGAATTAATTTAATAGGTGCCATGCACATTTAAAGAGGTTACTTCCCCAAAGAAAAGACACAAAAGATGAGATAGACTAAATCCTAAATCATGCCTACCTGAGTGGTATCAGTACTGAAACTCCAATATTGTATAGTTATTAGTGTAGATAATATAACAATACCCAGCTTTACTCTGCTCTGTTGGAAAAAGGCAAATGTATACATTCTTGTCATAAGTCCCCAAACTTTTTATTATGTCTGTACTACATTTCATGGTGATCCCTCTGAAAGTTCTCAAAATATAAATATTACACTCCTGACAGGCATACTGACAGATGTGACTGCTGCTTTTTTTATGACCTCTAAGGTAGGAAAGGTTGACTGAGCATCTCAGTCATCTCCGCAGGGAAACTCACTGGGGTTCAAACTGCAGGCTACGACTGACCGTGTGTGTGCGTCCTCCCTGCAGGTGAAGGAGGCCATACTGAATGATGAGAACTACTGTCCCCCAGAGACAGCTGTGCTGTTGGCCTCCTACGCTGTCCAGGCCAAGTATGGAGATTACAACAAAGACAACCACAAGCCTGGCTACCTTGCCTCCGACAGGCTTCTGCCACAAAGGTACAGTGTATATGCATATACACAATACTATAGATAATGGCTAAAAGAGAGAATATACTGTAGTATTGTAGTATTTGTTTTATCGTAGTATCTGTGTGTGTGTGTGCCCTGTAGAGTGCTGGAGCAACACAAGCTGACTAAGGAGCAATGGGAGGACAGAATACAGACCTGGCATGAGGAGCACAGAAGCATGCTCAGGTAAGTTTACGAGTATTATGATTTTTGAAGATAAACATTGTTTGTATGTTCATCTGTGTGTCTTGTCTGTCTGTGTGTGTGTGTGCACGCAGGGAGGATGCGATGATGGAGTATCTGAAGATAGCTCAGGACCTGGAGATGTACGGCGTCAACTACTTTGAAATTAAAAACAAGAAGGGCACAGAACTTTGGTTGGGCGTTGATGCCCTGGGACTCAACATCTACGAGCATGAAGACAAGTAATCAGCTCACACATACACACACAGTGGCTACAGACATGACCCCTGGGTTTAAGACTCCTCAAAGGATCACACATAAAGCTGTGGAGTCCCAGGAAGATTAACCCTTTCCTGTGCTGCACAAAATATTATTTATCCCCCTGGAGTCTTCAGTCACGCCGGTGGGATCAGGTCACAGTGTGATCTTACCTTTTTATATTCATATTTGCAAGTTTACATTTGCACCCTTCAATATGCTAGATTGAGCAAACATTTGTTTTAATGTGGTAGGCTATATAAAGGCAACATCAAAAGTATAGGCTAAAATAGCACAAGACTCCTAAGGGTTATTCTGACTCTCCTCAAGTCCTTGCTTTGTTTTATAAATTCTACTCCAGTTGAATTTGATCAGCACTTCATCAAAACTGAAAATAAAGAGGAAGAAATGGAAGAGAAGTTGCTGTCAATGACAACAACAACGCCCACTCACATTGTTTATTTTAGGAAGATTCCCGGCTACAGTTGATACCATTGCAGTTAAGAGGAATATATTTCTTGCGGCAACATGTCCCAATCAATCTATATATATAAAAATGTATTTGCTATTAATAAAATAAATACTATTTAATAATCTGGGAATAATTGAAATAAAAAGGGACTTCTAAGTTAGCACCCACTGTGGAAGATTATGAACTGTAGACTTTCTCAGCTCAGTCAATGACTATGGATTGCATTGGTTTGACTACAGCGCCCTCTTTTGGTGATGAACAGCAACGCTGATAAATAACCTGAAAACATCCTCAATTCAGTTTTTTGGGACATACATTAAAAAAAGTAAACTTTCAAACCATGATAAAACTTTTGTCTTCTGATTGTTAATTAAAAATCTTGTTACTGTTGCCTCAGGTTGTCACCAAAGATCGGCTTCCCCTGGAGTGAGATCAGAAACATTTCCTTCAACGACAAGAAGTTTGTCATCAAGCCCATCGACAAGAAAGCTCCAGTAAGTGTTGGGCTGATGTGCGATTGATGATAATTTTTTTACAATTTTTTTTACTTTTTTTTAATAGCCTCATGTCATCCTTTGTATCTCCTCAAGGACTTTGTGTTCTATGCCCCACGGTTGCGGATCAACAAGCGCATCCTGGCGTTATGTATGGGAAACCATGAGCTGTACATGAGGAGGAGGAAGCCTGACACCATCGAGGTGCAGCAGATGAAGGCTCAGGCCAGAGAGGAGAAGCACCACAAACAGATGGAGAGGTACAGTACACACTGCTTTTCCTAGGGTGTATAGGGTGATCTGGAAGCGCCATCTTTAATTCTTTCCTACTGGGAAGTGATTAAAGATGGTGCTTCCAGATGGTGATTGTTGTTCCGGTTTTTCCAGTATTTTATTTTGGGCTTTTTTGTCTGATCGTAATGGTTTAACAACAGACGTACACACAGGCACAAACACACTCTTGTGTAAATGCGTTAACATGAAAGCATAGGTAAAGTAGTCTTGTGTCATGTGTAAGTTATAATGCTGACACTGGCGAACTGCAAAATGTCAACTCTACTGATTTTTTTCATTCTTTTAAAAAATGAATGAAGAAAAGTCATTCTTTTTTTAAACAAGTGAAAACATTAAAAAGTGTCTCAAAAGCAAATCGAATTTGATTTTTCTAAAATCAAATTTAATTCATTATACTGATGCCCTCCTTATAACTTGTGGTGTTAAAAACACGGACATATCCAGTATTCCCAGCTGCTTGCTTACTGTATGATTAGGGCTTTGAACTAGCAGTCGTTCAAATGCCGTGTGAAGAAGCTAATAATATTTGCATGTAAAATATTTATCAAGAGTACACACATAAATGATTGTCTTTGTTCATGCACTACCAAAGACAATTCAGCATGAGCCTATGTAAACATAAAATGAAGTTACTTAACAACTGGGAATTTGTGTTTCTTTGTTTTTCATTTGCGTAGTCTACAGGGAATGTAAATGAGAGGAAAATGCAACAACAAAATAGAATATTACCTTTCCTTTACTGGCTATCTAAATTACTTCATTTAATGTTTTTTGCTCTGTGAATAACTTACAATAAAATGTTAAAAAATAAAATATGTAAATCAATGACTGCAGGTAGGATTATTGGTCAGTTCCCTTCTCCTAATCCATAGCAGTAGGGGGCAGTGCTGCATTCAAAAACCATGCTGAGGTTTCTCGTCTGCAGAGCTGGGTTTTGTATATCTATGTGTTGGTATGAAAGGCGAGGATCTGATGTTTGTTTTTTTTAAACATCATTCGTGTGGGCTGCTGCTACTGTGGAGACTGCTGCATTCATTTCTGTTTTTGTTGATATTTTTGTTTCACTTGAAGGCATCAATTGTCAAAATGTCCATGTCACTTTCCATTGTCCACAATCTTTGTTTTTTTTTAATGGACTTGTGAAGTTTTAAATGATCCCTTTAGTTAGTAGAAAATTACAAAATACAAAAGTACAACATCATACCACTGTAATCAGACATGAAATTGGATTTCCATTTATCATTTTACCACTCAGCAAAACTGAAATTAACCAAATGGAAGCTGAGAGTGGTTAGTGGGGAGTGAGTGCCGAAAAAATGCCTGAAATATGTCACAAAACTAAATACTGTTCCTACATGTTGGAAGGTTTACATGCACACAATAAACTAGGTTACTGTAATAAATCATGTTACGCAGGAAATCAGAAAACATGTTTACATGAAGGGAAAACAGCAAAGACAGCATTGGGGAAAGTGTCAGACTCAAAACAAAACATTCTGTACATTTTCAGGTTGATTATTTTCATGGTGTTTTAACTTCAGATGATCAACAGATAAGTTACTGGCTGGGTGTGATGCCTGTTGTTTTCACAGAGCGCAGCTGGAGAACGAGAAGAAAAAGCGCGAGCATGCGGAGAAGGAAAAGGAGCGAATAGAGCGAGAGAAGGACGAGCTGATCGAGAGGCTCAGGCAGATCGAAGAGCAGACACAGAGAGCTCAGAAAGGTACGAGTGCATCAACATCAAGAATGTACAGTATGTGCTCCTGTCATTCTATCTTTGTGAGGACCAGTTTGAAATTTAGACCTTGAGGATGAGGATTATTGTGGAAAGTGGACTTTCTGTCCTGTAATTTCTTCAAAGAGTTGTTTAACAACTGTGTCAGAAGTTGGCATTAAAAAAGTTATTGTATCAGAAACTAAATCTCGGGTATCAAATGTGTATGAAGTATAAAAATTTTAATGATACTCCGCCTTGTTTTAATAAATGTTTTTCATGTCTTTTTTTTTATGCTGGATTATTTTTGGGGGCATTTTTTCCTTTATTTGATAGTGACAGGTGTAGAGTCAGACAGGAAAGGAGAAAGCAGAGTGTGACATGCAACAAAGGTTGCCGGCTGGAATTGAACTGGTGAAAGTTGTGGCCGTGTGTCTTCCGCTGTAACCATTAAGCTCCTGGATATAATTTAAAACCAGCACTGATGTTACTTAAAGGTCAGCCAAGAAAAACACAGTCACAATGATGCCTGCTTGCGTGAAAACTAACATCATATCTCCTGTCTCTCTGAATATGCATAAAGTGAACATTAACTGGGAGGAGAAACTTCAGGTAGCAGTAGGCTGCATTTTAAGTGCTTCACATGAATCCTGCTAGTTTACCATGATAACAGTCATGTTGATGCAATAACAGCCCTTGTCACAAGTTATCATTGTGCAAAGAGATTTAAAGAAAGGTATGATTTAGAGTTATGGCGTTTTAAATTAGGGCCATGAAAAGAATGAACATTTCAGGCAAAAACAACTGTTGCAAGTTTACCATTACCACCAGGGGTTTATTCATACGCACGTATTCTGAATGTACTTCTGAATGTATGCGTGCAGAGCTGGAGGAGCAGACTCGCAGGGCGCTGGAGTTGGAGCAGGAGAGGAAGCGGGCAAAGGAGGAGGCAGAGCGGCTGGAGAGGGAGAGGCAGGCGGCAGAGGAGGCCAAGGCAGCGCTGGCTCAGCAGGCTGTCGACCAGATGAAGAACCAGGAACAACTGGTGACTGCACTCTCACATCTATCCCAGCCACTGTTCCCATCTCCAACATTCACTCCTTTTAGTTTAGTGCTTTTGTGCAGGTGAAAATTACACAATTTGAATTCGGGTGGTAACAACTAACATTTACCTTGCAGTCATTTATTTAGTGTTCAGTTTAATATTTTATTAATTTAATGAATCAGGGCTCATAAACAGTGTAGACTCTTAGGCAGCTTAATTATTCAACAAGGTTTTTGTAACAAAGCTACCAAACCACACCACAGTTATCTTATTAGAGGACTGACTAATGCTAATCCCACCGTTTATGTGTTTACAGAGAGTTGGGTTGAGAGCTGGTGACTGTGAAGAACATAGCAAATGATTCACATAATATTTATACTAAACCCATTCAGTGAGCCATCGTGCCTTGTAGGGAAGCATCTCTGTGCTTGATGTTCCACTCATTTATTTAGACGTTTCCATTCTTTGTTCACCTTCCTATATATAATAAGTACATCTGTGCAACATCTACCACCAACTTAGAACAAGTGGAGTAGGATTTAAAATGTTTCTCTTTTCAGAGACACTTTTTATTGTTAAATTTCATTTATTAGTTTGAAGTAAACCTTTAATCACCAATATATGACTAAATGTATAATCATCTTTCCAGGTATCTATTGATTCTTCTTTTACTTATCATTTAAGTTTATTATTGTACATATGTTAAAGTCATAACCAGCAGTGTTATATTTGTTTAGTTCATGGTTACTGATATGTTTACATTGGTCTGTGGTCATGAAAGAAGAATCATTTCTAAAGCAAAACTACCAGTTACTCAAATATGAGAAGTTGCTCATTCTTTCTGTTTCATATTATTGTAAATTGGAAATACCTTTGGGGTTTTGGACAGTTGGTTAAACACCACACTGAGTCCAATTTGGTAACTTTTACTGGCACGTGTTATTTTTTACAGGCTGCTGAGTTAGCGGAGTTCACTGCCAAAATTGCTCTGCTTGAGGAAGCCAAGAGGAAAAAAGAAGATGAAGCAACAGAATGGCAACACAAAGTAATGTAACATGTATATAAGTGTGTCTGTGTGTGTGAGAGAGTTATGTGGCACGCTGGCATGGGATCATGTGTTTATCACTCCCTATGGACTCCTTCTGATTGGTAAATGTAAATGCTCCGTACTTGTATAGCGCCTTTCTAGTCTTTTCGACCACTCAAAGTGCTTTTACACTACATCTGCATTCACCAGTCACACACATTCATACACTGAGCCTAAGTGCTCAAACAGAAACTAGCATTCACACTCATTCATACACTGGCGGAATAGCCGCCAGGGGCAAATCGGGGTTCAGTATCTTGCCCAAGGACACTTCGACACGCAACCAGGGGGGAGCCAGGGATTGAACTGCCGACCTTCCAATTAACGGCCAACCCGCTCTACCTCCTGAGCCACAACCGATCGTGATTGGTCACGGCACCTGCATATTGACAGTGGAACGAGGATGTTACATTGAAACTTTCTGAGTTAGCAGTGACTGCAGGGCAGAGGAAACTTACCCAAAACGGGGGAAATGCAGATATACACAGAAGTGGACAGATAATAATATTGTGCACATACTGTGGTTTGACCTTTTTCACAAGCAAGGGCCACACAATCAGCAGATACGATTAAATGACTTATTGATGATTGAAACAGAAAGATGTACAAGGCTTGCAGTTGCTGAATAGACATTCGGAAGGGGAAGCTGTGATAGGGAAATCCAACGGACCCCCTATAACCCTATGGAGAGGAAGAACGAGATGAGGAGGCAGGACAGAGAAAGGGTGAGGGGGGGTGCAGAATACCAGAGTAAAGAAGAGGAGATGGGAAGTGTGGGTATTTATGGAACTGCTGGCAATGACGTGACTGAGTCAAGTGATTAAGTTGTCCCTCTCCTGAAACTCTGCAAATTTGCGCCACCTAAAAAATATAGACATTGCTTGATGTGCAACATAATCAGCAAATGTTGCATTTTTTATTACCCATAAGATGAGCAGTCCTGACCACCAGAGGACCCTGGTTACAATAGAACATTCAGTGAATATCCATCCATTGTCAACCGGTTATCCTGTGTATCCTGGGTCGCGGGGATACAGTGAACAATTGGAAACAATGTTTTAATGGGTGGAAAGCAAATATTCTGTTAACTAATATACATTTTTTTTTACTATAAATGTTGGTATCTTTATATAAAACTATTTTTGTTTTTAAAAAATGTTTAAATGATGCACTGTATGGCATATAGTTATTTTTCCAAAGCCTTTCTACAAAAACATGCCTACAAGAACAATATGAACATAAAAACATTCCTAGCCCACTCACCATCTGTGCCTGTAGACGGGTGGATGTGTGAGTGTACACATAAGTGTGTGTGCACACGTATTATTTGGTTTCCATCCATCTATCGTCAACAGCTTATCCTGGGTACAGGGTCGTGGGGGGCTGGAGCCAATCCCAGCTGACATCGGGCGAAAGGCGGGGTACACCCTGGACAGGTCGCCAGTCCATCGCAGGGCCACACATAGACAAACAACCAGTCACATTCACACCTAAGGACAAATGTCTTTGGACAGTGGGAGGAAGTCGGAGCACCTGGAATTATTTGATTTGCATTATTTTATTTTACTAGCGCAAAGCTGCAACTAAATTAATGTCTTTTTTACAGTATCAGTGGTTTTGGTGGTTAAGTTGATGTTGATACTGGAACTGTTTAGTACCAAATGGTCTGTCAGGATAGAGGTGCATGCCAAAAAACCTTTACATATAGGCTAGTCACATAAGGGGGAAAGTAGCACCTAGAGTGCAAGTAAAGCTTAATACATTTCTGCATGATATTAACTGCTTGCTCTAGGCTTGCTATACAGTACAAAGCCTAACCCACATTTGCACCACTCATTAGAATGAACAGCATAGTTCCGTTTAGAAAGCACCATTTTTTACAAATAATTCAAAGGTTTTATTTATAATATTATATAGTAATACATTTTTGAAGAAATGTTATCACATAAATCATCACATCTTCCAAGAGGCATAGATAATGAATATATAATTTGATTCTGACGCGGTGATAATTTTAATTATCTTCCTGAATCAGTCTTACCAAGCATTAGGCATATCAGGCCTGCATTCATGAACAATCTATACATTTATTACAATTTAAACAAGCTGCGATTAGTCAGAAATATCCCCCTTTATAGTGGAGCGGGAGTTTGATAGGTGGTGGAGCCACTTGGGTTTTTGTTTTGTATACTCCACTAAGTGGAGATTCACACCTGCTGCAAATCAGCCAAGCACTGGCTGATATAAATCTAGTAAAGTGAGTTGTATTTAGCCTGATATCACAAGTTTTTCATAAGTGTCTGTCTAAGGATAGACTGTAAGCGCAAGATTTAATGACAAATGATTAATGCAATTAGATTCTTATCGAAAAGTTCAAAGCAAAGCTCTGACACAGTGACCAGTGACATACTTATGCCAGTGGATTAATGTGTCTACGTCTGTCCTGTCCAACATCCTGTATAAATGTCTATAAACTGTCAGTATCTGCTTATCCCTCTAAGTATACACGTGTGTTCTTTACAGGCTCTGTCAGCACAAGAGGACCTGGAGAAGACCAGGGAGGAGTTGAAGACTGCCATGACGACTCCACCGGCGCCGGAACACGATGAGCAGGATGAGACAAACGCCGAGGCGAGTGCCGAGCTGTTCAGCGATGGCGTCACCAGCCAACGCAGTGAAGAGGAACGCATTACTGAGGCGCAGAAGAACGAACGTGTCAAGAAACAGCTACAGGTGGAGTAGCAGTGGAGAGAAACACATACTGTACTGAAATTATTTTCCCTACTGGAAAACTGCCATTTACATGTGATAACGGTGATTCCACCTAGTATGGTGAAGTGCCTGCTTAAAAACTTCAAATCATAAAATTGTCTCTGCGTAGAGAACATAATACCGACATTTACCAATTTTCTGATTATTTTAGCCAAAAGACAAAATATCTGCTCAATATATATGCAATAGTTCAAATAACAATACAAGCTTTGAATGCATTGCATTAAATCATTAAATTAACTACAAAGTATGTGGAAGTCCAGTACACGGGAAGTCAGTCCAAACTGCAAAAGTATCGAAAACACGAAGCAAAAGGTCAAGGTACACAGGAAAACAGCCTTTAACTATCACTAGAAAATACATTTGTAACACTGATGGTATACAAGTGAAGAGTGGATAACAAGACGCAGGTGAGATGAATCCGGGCAGGGCAGGTAATGTAGGATACACAGAGCAAATTAATACTAACTGAGAAAATAACTGTAAGCAAGAAAATAATAACTTAAACAGAGATACAATGTAACACTGATGAGAATAAGATAATAAATGGTAAAACTTTTTCTAGAAAATTATACACCACTTATATCATCTTGGCCCAATGGTGCCTAGATCGTGAGCTGTGATGCAATGTTCATCTCTCTCTCTCTGTCTCTTCTGTCCAGGCTCTGAGTTCAGAGTTGGCCGAGGCCCGTGATGATACCAAGAAAACGCAGAACGACATGCTCCATGCTGAGAACGTGAGGGCAGGCAGAGACAAGTACAAAACCCTGCGCCAGATCCGGCAGGGCAACACCAAGCAGCGTATAGATGAGTTTGAGTCCATGTGAGCCGGGAGGAAGGGTGGACACAGCGATGAAAAGAGACAGTTAGTCTCATTGCCATGTCAACGCCTCACCTTCCTTGTAAAGCCCAAAACCTGTTGCCACCCCAGGAACTCCTGCTTTTTTTCTATGCAGGAGAAAGAGCGGCTAACAGGCTTTGTAGCTTCAGCCTCGCCAAAGCTCTGCCTAGCAGCGGTTGGCCAATCACACTGCTACCTGCTTTTTAGAGCTCTGCCCCCACCCCAACGAAGCACACGTCTTTTAATCTGTCTGAAAAATAGCAAGCAACATATCCTGTTAAACATGGACTTCTCTCTTCTACAATACTGATCGTTTTAATGCTTGCATGTATGATAATTAAAGAACAACAGGACCGATAGACAAAGTGAGAGACTGGACAGAATTTGTTGATATCGTGCTTTTACTCGACAAATAAAATGGCCATTTGTAGCTCATTGATGTTGCCGGCACACTTGTCCGTAAAGCTTTAATATCTGTACTTTACTTTTACTTCTTTTGTCATCAGTTGATCAATTGAAATAATTTGTTTTAAAAAAAAACGCCTTATTTGTCTCATTTCCTTCCAGTCTAGTATTACTTTTTGTAATTTTTCTGTCTGGAAAGTTAGCCTGTTCAGTTCTGCTGTCAATGTCATTGATCTGTTAATGCTGCATCAGCTAACTTAAATCCTTGAATGGCTGTCAAATGCTCACTGTGAGAGTTGTGAACAAACAAAAAGATATGCAACTAAAGCTTATTTTACATTCTTACTGTGCTGGCATTCTCCATCGATTGAGACTTTTGTTAAAAATATATATTTTGCGCCACAATAAAGAATGCATTTATATTTACAGCTTTGCAGCTACAGTATGATCCTAAGAGTCCTGACTAGCCAAGAGCCAGGACAGCTGGATTTATTGACATAGGATCCTGTGTCAGATATAAGTTCGAAGCTGGCACACAGTGTTATAAAATTCAATGAATCTTGAATTTACTGCATAAAGTCAGTATTAAATTGTTATTAAATTGTCTTGACTATGCACGTTGGTCAGACACAGCAATATGACAAAAGTATTTTGTCAATTATGAAAGACGTTAAATGATGATGTACCATCATTTTGGATCATGTACTGATTTAACTCACACACTCTGCACTGCAACCAGTTACAGAAGAAGAATCTTTAAAATAACAAGAACAAACTCAATCACTGCTTAAATAATGTCAGAGAAGATAACGCATAATATATTTGTGTAACTTGATAAAACATTTAAAATTGATAAAGTAAAATGTATTAATCTACACAACTATCATCTGTGGTTTAGTGTCAAGAAGTTCAATTATTTATTTAATATAAATAAAAAGGTTTAAAACAAATGCAACCATAAATAAAAAATGCTCACTTGTGAAACATATTTCGAGATCTGCAGATGTGAAAAGGGTTCAATCAGACAAGTCTTAAAAATCCACCAATAAAAGCAAATGTTGTCACAGATACTGTAAATTGATCCAAAATGTGTTGTCACATATTTATTCGCAGTAAAAACAGCCAACCTACCTGATTCTAACTACAATAGTAGTTTTTTTTTATCTGTCAAACTGATATTTTTGAAAACTAGCTAAATGTTTTTTGTAATTTTGGATTCATTTCCATCTTATAATAATTACACTAAATTATAGTTCCTTCCATCAGTGCCCCTCTGTGTGAACACCATATTTAATGACATCAAAAATTAAGTCTCAAACCATAAGAGAGACAGAGCAGAGAGCGCGTTTCCAGCTGGAGTTCCCCAGCTAAAGTAACATTCAAGAGCCAGTAACACGAGGACTAAAAAACACATGAAATCTTGAGTAGAGCTTTTATTACATCACACACACAAGAATAGTCAACAGGTCTCATTTGGCCACAGTTTGCCAGTTTCTGTAGATATGACAGATTTATTTTTCGTGCTTTTGTTTTGGATTTCATTGCCTAAAGCTCAGCTGAGATTCACAGCCCTGCAGCATAAACATCTGAAGAGGCCCACTCAAAAAAGACATGTTTTCATAAAATTAAAAAGATGAATAAAGACAAAATTAAAGACACAAAGGTATAACCTGTTTGTGGAAAGCATTTCAGCCAATATCATTTTCATTTTGCCTTTTGTTTTTCTAAGATGGATAATGTATTTGGGCTGGGTACATCTTAATTTAAAAAAAGCAATAACTTTTCTTAGTGTTAGTTTGTTAAAACAATATTACTGGGATTAATCAATATAACTTATGAATCAGCAGAGTTGTATATGACAGCTTTGGGGCTGCCTTTTGGAATGAAATTCTTCATCTGCCAGCAGGACACATAGTGAAACAGCAGCATTGGTCGAACACATTAATATCTTCTTTTTATTTTGGTTTAATATAACCACCATTGACCTGATCAAGGGGAAACATTGGAAAGCAATAAACAGCCTTTTACCTGGCTTTGTTCCCTGAAGAGGTGGCACTTAAATTATTTCTGTACCAGAAATGTATTAAAGCACATAGAAATAAAGATGAACAGGGACATTGTTAATATTTTACATTTCTTTCCCATTGGATATTGCTGGATTTGAGGCAATTTTAGTCAAATGAACAACAAATTACAAAACAACATTTTCTGTCTAGACAAAACCCACAGATAAATTATTAAAGGTGTGTTCAGACTGAACACGAAGCAAATTTTAGGCAACGCAATGCTTAACTTAATGCATGGAAGCCGGTTTACTGAGAAATACCCATTGACCCCGTTGCAAAACGAGAATGTCACCCCTATTCAGTTTGTATGAGATCTAAGCTTGTCTAGGCATTGTGGGATAGCCGGCAGCATGGGATTGACTTATACCTCCTGTGAAATAAAAAGCGGTGTAGCAAGAAAGTATTGCTTTGTCTGTGTAGGAGAAAATCACGGTTGCAGTTTCAGACGATCTTGCTATGTCACAAAAATGTGCTGCTTGAAAAAAACCATATAGGGCTTTTTCACAGGAGACATTTTAACATGTCACAGTAGGACAAGCACAGGTGTAAATAAAATTGACGATGGCTGAATACCATTTAGCTGCATCACTTTCAGGGTGCTGGTGTGTATCCTGTACACTTGACTAGTAACACCTGTGTGCTGTAAGAAAAGCCTACATACAATTATTGCTAATAAGCAGGCTTATTGTCACTTGGGTTGGGTTAACATGCAGCCAGCGCAATGCCAGTTGTTGGGCATCTGAGCTGTGCGTATGTTGCTAGCTAACAAACAGCTACAGCTAATATCTGTACAGCCAGTACATCTGCTGTTTGTGGCGAAACACATGGGCTACAAAAACAAATTTACATGAATAAAGCGAGGTGGACATTTGCTTTATCATATTCAGTCTGAACATTGTCAAGTAAAATTTGTGGAAAAATCCAAACACAACATAACATTAGCACAGTTAGCAATGTGTACATCCCCCTTATTCAGCAACACTGACACTGACTACAATCTCTTATTGCGGATAGACATCATGCATAACTAAAAAAATAGCTCTTTAACAAGTTCATGATGGTAGAAAAATAGTTTTTGCCCTACACTAAAAAGGGTTTTTAATGTCCACAGGAATGTTAACCAACATGTTTGTTTAATTAAATTGTGGTTTCTCGACCCTGTAGCCAACACTAACACACAGTGCCAGCCAGACGAGTAGGGTGTGAGCACGTCAAGTTATGACATCTGTCATCTGACTGACCTTTAAGCTGTGCGATGGACTAGAAGGAATTACTGAGGCTCTGACATGACACCTTTCAGATCACAGTACAGCCCTTGAGAAGGAAGCTTTCCAAGTAAGAGAGCTTCAAGATAACAAAGAAGTGTTGTGGATGTGGTTTTAGATTTCTGAGAAGGTGTCACACAAGATTTATAGCCATGAGCACACATTTGAGAAGCTTTTTTGTTTTGAGCCAAGCTAATTAAAACTTCCTCTCTTTTTACTGCACTCACATGCACAGCCCATTGTTGATCCACAAGTGTTTAGAAATACTGTTCTGAGGTGGAGCATGATTCAAATGAGTTTCAATATGTCATGAACAGTAAGCTTTAAGCTCACTTTTTTTTTTACACACCTATAATAACCGTCATTTTCAGTGTTGTATTTTGCCTTTCACCATGTTTGGGCTGATTCAGCTTCTGCCCTGGTTAAGGTTTCATATTTTTGGGGCTACACAGTATCATGGTCTCAGTTCAAAGACAATTTAAACAATAACAATAACTGTTTTCAGAAAGTGCATTTGAGACTTTCTTATTCCTGCACTGGGGGAAAGGGGGAACAACCCACTCCCCCCATATAAATAAAGTACCAAAGGTGACAAAGTTTGCCACAAATACTCAAAATATTCAACTCGAAATATTTTTTGTTTAAATATTCTCATATAAAACAATGATCTTGTTTAAAAAGTTTATAGGATACAATTTGTATCAACAAAGAGAGGTGTCATCTGGCTACTAGATAATGTGCTAACCAGGCAAGAGTTTTAGCTTTACAAACAGTTCCTCAGACATTAAAATAATCCCACTGGTGGATATAAAAATAAGAATTATTATTTCATACAGAAAATGCAGTTCAAAGTGCTTTACATTTAGAGAAGACAACTTAAAAATTGAAAGAAGACAAAAAAGAGAAAGATGAGTAGTTTGGAAAATACTGACATATGAAAAATACTGACATGAAATTAATTAGAATTATCACTTTTGGTCAGACAAAACAAGGAATTTGACGAAGCCCCCATGGGTTCTGCAAAATTGTGATGGGTGTTTTTTACTATGTTTTGACATTTCAATGATTTGATCATGGATTGATTAATAAATAACAGATTAACTGAGTTAGTTGCAGTACTTGTACAGAACATTACTATTAAATACCTGAAAAAATTAGTCTGGACATGCCAACTTGAAACTAGCTGCAATAGCTTTTTGTTATCTAATTTATTTTTTAATATTTTTGTATTAAAAAAACAAATCTGATTCTGAATCTTTGCTAAACTGCTGACTCTTTATTTAACAAATGGGATTATTAGAGCCTCTGAGAAACATTTGTAGAACTAAAAACTATTATTTATGGGTGTTCCCACTGTTGTCATGATAATAAGTGTCTGGTGACATACTCTGTGGGAATTAATTAATTATTAATTTTAGGAAGCTGTTTCCCAGTCTGTTCCTGTCTTGTACTGCAAAGTTGGGAATCTCTATGTATTAAACAGAAGGGTACAAATGAGTTACACCCTGTTTCAGGTGGCTAAACCCTCATAGTGGTATCACCACTACTGACAAAGGAGACCCTGTGTCTTATGCACCACATACATTCACACACAAAAAGATAATAAATTAACACATATTAAATTAAAATAATACCAACAATCTCAATTCCACCTAAACATTTCTGGTGACCCTGCTCTCAAAAGTCACCTTCATATGATTTAGAATTTAGATATGGTTTAAAGATGTAATGTTTAAAAATCAGTACTGAAAGCTCACAAACTGTAAAGTCAGCTGACATGGCTGTCCTAGCACAGGAACTAAACTGTTATTCAACAGTGAACAACAGTTTGGGGTTTTCTAGTGGAGTTTTTGCTATCTTCATTTGTGGGTTTCACTTCCCTATGGGGGAAATCCACAAAATCTCACCACAGCAGCTGATCTACCACCTGTCAGTATAGAAGGATCCGCTTGTTGAGCATTAAATACAGTAGGAATGTATGTGCAATGTAGCAGTGAAATTCTTAGGATTCTTTTATATACCCCACGTTGTCATCTCAGTAGAAAACAGAGGTATTTCATTCAGATGGAAAGTATGAATTTGAGCTATACTTATACCCTGATATGATTGCCAAAAAGAAAAAAAGGTGAGGAAGAAACACACCAATAACAAAAAAGTGCCGAAAACTGAATGATTTTAAAATATGTAACTTAACTTAAAATATAACAAATAAATAAATTAAAAATGAACTACACTGTCACACATTAAAAGCCTCCCTAAGCACACCGGTGTCTTGACACATAACCAAAAGCTCAAACATGCACATTAAACCCCAACTTTCCTGATCTTAAGTGCTGAAATAGCAGGTATATTTATAGACCATGAAAAACATTTCCCTTTACAAAAATACCATTAAAATTAATGAGATAACTTTCCTGCAATAAAAAAAACTGTCTATTACCAGCTTCAGGAGATTTATATCTTGTGCTTTTGGTTTGTGCATGTCCAGTGGATAAACTTTCAGAAGTGATCCCAGTTAAGATGAAGCAGTAACTTCACCTTCTGGCTACATTCAAGAACGGTGCTGCGATTTCTCCATCAAAATTGCAGCTGCAAGCTCCTGAGCATCCATCACAAGAGGGTTCCTGGTCATCACCATCATCACCAAATCCGGAGGGAAGATCCGACACAAGTTCACAAACACCTTCTCCCTAAGGTCCTGGTATCGACCCAAGATAGGGGGCTCCTGGTGCTGGGGCACTGAGGGCAGGTGGCTTTTATGAGCAGTGATGGGTGGAAGGGACGGCAGTGGAGGTGGTGGAGGACTTGATGCTGAAAGGCCACGGGGTGATGAATGGACTTGCCTGCCCCAAGGAGAGTGCCAAGCCTTCTCATGTACTTCTGGAAGGCTCTGGAAGGCAAACAGATCATAGTAAGGCTTAGGGGACTGTTGGTAATGGGGATCCCAGTTTATCTGATGCTGTGGTTGTTGGTTTATCCCAGAGTGGTTTCTTCTAGAATAAAGTGGTGACCCTTTATATACGTTATTGTCCTGGAGCCCTTCTTCCTGCCAAAGGGAGCCCATTATATTGCGGCCAAGGGGGGAGCTCTGAGGGCGGGAATGAGCAGTGGATGTTTGGTGTTGATGAGCTGGGAATTCCCCAGGGAAACTGCTCAGCAATGGATGTTGAGGGTGGGGTGGGATGTATGCTGAAGGGGGCTTGAAGGGACGTGGAGATGCACGAGAGCTAACAGAAGCATTGGGGTCTTCCAAGGCAAAACCATGTTGCCGAAGCAGTGCTTGAGAAACGGGATGGCCATGAGGAGCATGCTGGCCCAGTCCAGGAGGAAGACTTGCAGGGTAAGCGTACTTGCCAGAGCAGTGATGATGGTGGTGAGGATGGTGGTGGTGATGGTGGCACTTGGGGCCATCGTCTAACAAGGGGTCAGGGGAGAAAGAGTCTGAGCTGCCTTCACTGCTACAGTCTGACAGCAGTGATCCAGTTCGCAGATCAGATGGGAAGAAGCATTCAGGGCTCTGTGGCACTACCAAACTGAGGCCAGAGTAGGCTTTAACCAGTGAGCTGTAGCCCAAGTCTGGAGACTCGCACTTGTGGTAAGTTTCAGCCTGACTTGGTCCTGAGGCTCCAGCAACCCTGAAGCTGCCTCCACCACTTCCCCCAGGGTGCTCCCATCGGTCCAGGTTTCCTGATGAAGGGTGGCCCCCTGGAACAAGATTCCCTAGAAAGCTACTGCTGCAGCTGCTGCTGCTGCTGCTGCTGCTGTTGCTCCCCCTACGTCCTTCCACTTTGGACTGGACCCGAAGCCTGTCCTCCAGGAGGTCATTAAAAGAGCGCCATGGGCTGGGGTTTCGCTGTTTCTTTGGAGTACCCCGATCAGCCATTGCTTCTGGTTGACCAGAACTTTGGCCCTTCATCATCAAGACATCTTCCAGCAGGCCTCTGGAGGCTACTGATGAAATTTTGGCACTGGCACGGAGCTCATCAGCCACGGCACGCTGGGGCTGGCTACCCCTTTCAGGGTGGTAAAACTTGCATTTATGGCCATATGTGCACTTCTTTCCTAAAGCAAAAATGAAAAATATTTCTCATTAATGTGCTGGAATGAAAATGTTATATAACATCTTGGTTAGCATTTGTATCTTTTTTTTAAATCTTGGCTTTTCTCTACCACAGTAGAATTAAAACATCTTCTCTATCTAAAATATAACATAAAATAGTTAAAATATAAAATAGTTAAATAATTATTATTATTTAATTTTTTATATCTAAAAACCCATGATTTAATTTGATCTGTTTAAAACGATCTGCAGCACAAACACTCACAAATGGTCCACAAAAAGTAGAACCAGATTAAAGCAGTCAACAACAGCAATTATCCAGTACAGAGACAGTAAAGTGTTTCAGATTTTTCAAAATATTATAGTTCTTTCTATGAAAGTAAGTACTGCACTGACAAGAACAGAAGTGCTTATAAGGTAACATTTTTACCATAAGGACATGGCTGCTTCCTGTGTTCAGGAATAACAGGCCTCTTCCTTAGGAAGTTCTCCAGACTGGGTCCGTGGCGTCCCAGTGGGTCATCTGGTGGCATGAATCTAAATACACAGTTACTCGATTAAAATCTTTAATATCACAAAATTTCACCCAAAAAACAAAAACAAAACATATACAACTCGAAATTTTCTATTTCTTTCTGCTTCACTGAGGATTCAATAACTCTGACAGCACCAATAAGACTGCATCAGGGATGTTCTACGATGAGGAAAATAAAGAGGCTTACGTTCTATATTTGGATCACAAAAGATCCTTGTACCTCCTAATTTTTTAAAATTTTTCTACAGTTTTTATAAGCTGTAAGGACAATACCTTAACACTTACAGTTTAGACATTAGCTGACAGAAAGCAACAAAGCAGAAGAAGCTTAAACTCACATCACCTATATTCCAAGCAACAAAACAATAGGTCTTATAAGAAGAGCAAAGGTTAGTTAGGTATTTGGCACCTAAAAACTTTCCTGTGACAACAGATCACTTTAGTAATACAAGACATGACCCAGAAACTGAAGAAGGTAAGATGTTTTTTAGTGTGTACAGAGGGGGTTTTGATAAGTGGAGCAAAAGTGAAGAATAGTAATAAAGATCAAACAAACAGCTAGAGGAAATGAAAGTGTCTGATAAAATAGGAAGTCCTCAGATAATTTCCCTGCAAAAATGCATTGTGCAAATATTAGAAGGGTACTAGCTTGATTTTAACACATTTTACAACTGTTCTTTAGTGGTTGGGATACACACTGGATGTTACAGACAATTAGTCCATCCTTTAGTATATTGCTTACTTATCGTTTACAAAGGAGTACATCAGTAGACGCTCATCAATGAATTTTTTCCACTCTGGCTTCTCATTGGCTAGGTCACGGTAGTTGTCGTTGGAAACAATGATGCCGTCTGACTCATAGGCCAGTTTGACAATGAAGCGGTCATCATAGCAAACCACACGGCGTCCTTGCACGCGGCGCGATGGGGTGAAAACCAGAATCTTCTCTTTCTCTAGTCGCCGTAGGATCTCTTGGTCTGAAGAAAGTGGGGATACAGTTAAACATAACAAAAGGATAAGAAAACGTTCCCCAAAGATCCCTCCCAAAGAAGAGGATTTAGACGCATCCTTCTGCTTGTTTAAGGTTTCATTTCATTGTGACTTTAAATCATCATTGAAAGCTATAGTAGCTGGTACCTGTGATGGGAGCATCAGGTCGTGACTGCTCCTTTCTCCAGGCAGGGACAAAAACAGTGACGTCACGGTGACCTTTCTCCAAGAACCAATCAACAGCCAGCTGGATGCCTTGACAGGAGAACACTTCCTTATTTCCATGACTGCAAGAGCAGAAACACATGTTAAAGGCACAGTCACTGATGAAAATGCAAACAAAAGGGTTTCCCCAGTACCAAAATCTAAACCACAGAATTGAAAACCCGATGTACCTCACACAATTATTTTATATACATGTATTTAAACAGATCCACCAACAATACAACATCATAACTATCAAAGATGAGGCTAAAATGTTGTGACTCAACATTTCCTCATGAGGAAGATGCTACTGATATGGACTGATTATTATGATGAAGATGATTTAATGGAGTAATGCACTTTGTGAGACAGAAAATTATCCTAAAAATGAGCATCAAAATACTGACCGTCCACCAGAGAAGCAGACAGATTTACATTTACTCATTTGGCAGACGCTTTTATCCAAAGCGACTTACATTTGAGGAACAACATACAAGCATCAACAGAGAATCAAATACAGATCTAGAACTGACAATACATACTAGTAAGAGCAGCAATAAGTACTAGTAAGAGCTCACAGTACATATCACATCAATGGGGTCGATACCTAGGGAAGGAAGTAAGAGTTAACAAAAAGTGCAATCAAAACAAAAAGTGCAATCAAGACAAGATCATTGTAGGGGATAGAAGAAGAAGAGCACAGGAAGTGCATGTTAGAGGTTAGGAGTTAGAGGTGTTATAAGAGGAAGTGTTCTCGGAAGAGATGAGTTTTCAAGAGCTTCTTGAAGTTAGGGAGAGAGGGACGCCCCTTCTCTGATAGCGTGTGGTAGCTCGTTCCACCATCGTGGTGTCACAGATGAGAATAGCCGGGACTGGGATTGCTTTGTGTGAAGGGATGGCAGAGCCAGGCAGCGTTCGTTGGAGGAGCGTAGCGGCCGAGAAGGAACGTAAGTTTGTATTATGGAGTTTAGGTAGACACTAATTACACTTGATGAAAATTCAAATGGAGTCTCCCCCAAAATAAAACGAGAGTTTCAGTACAGTGAGAAAATATGTTTGTAAAGCCAGCATACAGCCAGCAATGTATAGCATCTCATATGCTCGCATGGTTGCTAATTTGCTACTGTAGCTGCTAACAATGGCCAGATGATAATTCATTGTTTTATTTGAGCATTCTAAAAAACATATATGTGTCTGTTTTTTCATAAATTGTTAATGATAGTGAATAGCTACTGTCCCCTTACTCTACTACATAGGATTTTCTGTGAATCATTAGTGCAGTCATCATGTAAAATATGCTTATGTGTATTAATCAGTAGAAAGCAGGAAAGTATAAACCTTACCTCATGGCTACGTTGCTCCCATCTACCACAACAGGCCGAAGGTTTTCTTTGTCCTCCAGCAGCTGGGATGGACACATCAGCCGACAGGAGTCCAGAGAGGGGTTGTTGGAGGAGGAGGAGGAGGAGGAGGAACAGGCCAAAGATGATGACAAAGAGGAGATGGGAGACTGGGAGACAGCAGAACAACCTTGCTGCTCCATCTCTGTCTTGGTTCCCAGTTTGACCAGCTCACCCAGAATATCGTTGATGAGTGCATCTGGGCCCAGTTTCCTCAGCACCAGCAGCACCAGCTCCTCAGAGTATCCCAGCTTGAGAGCAAACTCTACCTTGGTGCGGTAGTCTGTGATAGGGTCAGTAGGAGAGGATATTTCTGGCTGTGGGGAGTCTCCAGGGGATATATTTGGTGCCAGGTCCAGCCTGACTGTCTGACAGACTGATAAGGACTCTTGGAGGCATAGGTGAGGCTGACCTTGCAGAGGGTTTTGAGATTCAGAACCACACCCATTATGGAGCCGTTCATCATCACTGTCGGATACAGTACTCTCCTCAGAGAAGTTACTGCAACTACTACTGCCGCTATAGCTTGAATGGGTTCTAAAACCAGTTCTACTACTACCAATACTGTTACAGCTGTTATTTTGGGCACCAGCACTGATCTGTAAGACCCCTATATTCCCAGCACCTGTATCAGTGCTCAGGCTGGCATGCCGCTCAGCACCTTCCACATGAAGGTAGTCCAGATCCAACCCCAGACTGAGGATGTGGCCTGTCCCATCCTCCAGATGGTCCTTCACGCCCATGAAGCTGTCTTATACATCCAGCTCCGCACCCTCCTTGACCTCCCAGGCACCTGACGGACCCCACTGTTACTGCTTATAGTTAACAGCTCACTGACTGGTCCTTGGAGTGAAGCTTGAGGGAGACAAAAGAATCAGCTGGTTACATTTCTGAGGTCTGCATTTAGGGACAGTATGCAGATTGTCATAAATATGCAGGTCAGGACTGGGTCTATAAATTTGGATAAAAAAATTCTTTATAACCCTATTTACACTTGTTTGATCTATATCTAGATATCTTACCTGAACATGAAAATGCATGTTCATGCAAGGTGTACATTTATGCAGACCATATTACAATCAAGATGCTATCAGATGCTGATATGCTGGTTCACCTTGTGATCAGATCTCTGCCACAGGAAATACCATGGAGAAATATTGTCCAGGAAGCTGAAAGGTCACCATACTCTGCTTCTTTCTGCCATCTCAAGCAAGACATGCAACACCCTACAGCCAACCTCTTCACCAGTAAAGGAAAAATAAGTAGAGCCCATAGCAGCATCACTTCCCTTGACCTAAGATGCACCATGAAAAGTCTGCCAGCTCAGCCTATCAGCTTTACATATTGAGCCAGGAGTAACTTCAAAACGAGTAAATGCTTTATGAAGTTTAATGGACCGCAAGAGGCTTTTAAGAGGTAGGGTAAGTTGAAAACTGTGACCTGCCTTAACTGCCGTTCCACTTCTTGACTTGCATTTTAGCAGCAATGAGCTCTGTCAAGAAACATTAATCACACTAGAGGAATAATACCAGACACCTAAGCCAAAAACAGTGTCAAAGTGATGCCAAACCACTGACATGTACATAAGTACAATCACATCTGCACCAAACTTTACAGGGATAATAACAGTCACGCCCTGAACACATCCATATGCCAACATTCACTCAAAGGCACAATGACCTCAGTCTCAGAAGAGCCTTAACACATAGATGATGCTTTGTTGCGAAGTTTTAGGGTAACGGCGTGTCCGTGGCATGGCGTTAAAGTTTGATGCTTCACCATGACACCGGAAGCAGCACCCATGCCCCGTTTCCTGTTTAGATGCACGAAACTTTTGTGGCACTTATATCATACCAATACACACGAAAGCCTCTTGCAGCCATATCCTAAAGTCAACAAGGAAATCAGTCATTTTCGTTTGAAAGTGCATTTTTAGCCCATTTATGGCCTTTTACAGGGTGCGTACTTTAACAAACTCCTCCAAGGGAATTAATTGGATCAACTTAAATTTTTTGTTGTGCAATCTTAAGGCATGGATGATAAAAAGTTGCAATTTGTAGGTTTTTGTCCATGGGCATGTCCGTGGCGTGGCCTCGAATATCAATGCTTTGCCATGAAACTCTTAATTTGTTATGACTTCAGTATACATGCTCAGATCTGTCCCAGACTTCACAAGGTTGATAACAGTCCTGCCCTGAACACATCTACATGCCAATATTCAATCAATGTCATAGAGCCACCTTCTGGCAACAGGAAGTAAGCCCTTTCAAATCATTTGATTTACATGGTACTTTCACAAAGTCATCCACACTTCACGTACTGGTACACAACATATAATAAGAGGGTGTTGTCTAGTGCCACCTAGAGGACACAGGAAGTGATGATAACTCCTTTGTGACCAGTCCAAACCACGTGATAATTCAGACGCACGATTTCCGACCTTCAGCCACTGAGCCGCAGCCGCATCACGCCCGACATGCGAGGGCCCGTCCAATGCTGCTTGCTACTTTAATATATTGCTTTGTTTTCTTGAAATAGACATACATGTATTGTATGTATGTAATATGTCTTTTTAACAGCAGTTGTGTGAGAATAACACAATAACATCACCTCATTATCGTATGCAATTACTGGAACGCTTCACATCAGAAGTAAAAGAGTATTCTTTGACTGACAGGCAGTCTCTCTGGCTATACCTATGCATGCATGCACCTCTAAGTTTACATTCCATGATGGGCTTGGCATTGTTTGTTGCACTATGTATAACATTAAGAACCTTGTGGTGCATTGGCTGCAGACTAAAACACAATATTCCAGAGTTTTCAACTATATACTTACAAAAATATAACAATGTTAAAATATGAGTGGAATTACATGTACATGGATGCAATTCAACACAACAGCATCACAAACAAGGTCTGATTCTACCAACTGAAGAATCCATAGAGTTTCAACGCCTTGGATAGATTCTGTATAATAACATGAATGCATAAGTGAAATACATAACTGCTAAGCGAGAACAAGGGTCGACCTCTTCCCAAGTTCTTTATGAATCATTACTTTGACAGGGTTCTTCAAGAAAGCATTAAGCTCATCTCGAGTAGGTATGTTAAAATTAACTACACCCTCAATTTTGTTTTGAGTAGTAAACTGATTACTTGACACGCAGATCAAAATAACACTAACCAGTCACTAGACAGTTGCATACACGAAAGGTTAGAAAAAGTTTTCACCTACAAATCTAGCTTAGTGCGCCAAGTTCTTTCTAGATATGAGTTACTTAAAGAGAGTGTTGTATTATAAGTTGGGCCCCAAGCCCAAGTCAGCCCCGAGTGTCCATGATGCCTTTTGCTGTTACACAGGAAATAAATTCCTAGGGATTGGAAATTAGTTGCAAGCATCTCATTTTTGCCACAAGAATACAACTAGATGTGCAATTCAAGAGCTCTAGCAATTGTGATTTTGTACCACCAGCAAGCAGCAATTGTTTTAAGCACAGAAAGATCTGTCCGACCATTGCCCACATGACACATTGTAACAGGCTAAAACATGTAAAAACACTGGTACGGTCCTACGTGTATTTAATCAGATGAATCGCTTTATTCAAATTGAGGATTTTGGATTCAATATTCAAAGGTTCTTTCGAAAACCTCAATAGAAGTTTTGAATGTAATAAAAATGGCATTCGGTACAGCCTCTTGTTATGGTTCTATTTATGTCTCTTCTTTCTTTGCTACTGAACGTAACTCACTATTGCCTCTTGAGGTACAAAGTTGTTTTACAAGACAGGAAGGGCCGGGGCAGATATCTCTGTAACACAATACATCGACATCTTTGACATATCATCAAACCTGTTGTTTCTTCACATTCTGTTGATAATTTTAGTTAATTATTCATCAGAATCAGAATCAGAATCAGCTTTATTGCCAGGTATGTGTACACATATGAGGAATTTGACTCAGGATTGAACACTGCTCACGATGTGCTTACTTATACAATAATAAAATAATAATATAATAATAATAAAATAAAATCCGACACAAACTACAGAGTAGACAACACTAATATACACACTATGAACAAAACAATATAGACATATTGACAAATAGTGCAGTGATCAGAGTGCAAAGGATGCAAGAGTAAACTATTCTCATTATGTACATGTTGAAGGTGGATATGATATACAGGTACACATACATGTACACATGTACACGGTGTGATGGAACATAGTGCAAAGGATGCTGAAAAAAATAAATAAGACCTATGACCTTATGACCTGAGGTAGGTGTATTGGCATACAGTATATACAATATGCAGTATGAACAGCACTGAAATAGAGAATGGTGAATGAATAAATAATAAGTGGAAACCAGTAAACAGGTGCTGATTAGAGACAGAGTTAATGGGTTATTGCACAGGAATTGTTCCTGACACTGTGAGTCAGAAATCAGCTGTTCATCAGAGTGATGGCTTGTGGGAAGAAACTGTTCCTGAGTCTGTTGGTTTTGGTGTACAGTGCTCTGTAGCGCCTACCAGAGGAGAGGAGCTGGAACAGGTTGTGTCCGGGATGAGATTGATCTGCAGTGATGTTTCCTGACTCTGGAAATGTATAAGTCCTGAATGGAGGGCAGGTTGGCACAGATTATTTTTTCTGCTGTCCTGACTGTCCGTTGTAGTCTGTTCCTGTCCTTTTTGGTGGCAGATCCAAACCAGACAGTGATGGAGGTGCAGAGAACAGACTGGATGATGGCTGTGTAGAACTGGATCAGCAGCTCCTTAGGCAGGTTGAGCTTCCTGAGCTGACGCAGGAAGTATCCTAGCATCCTAGCATATGTCCCTGGAGAGTCGAGGTGTTGCAGGATGTGATGCAGACCCAAGTTGACTGCATCATCCACTGACCTGTTAGCCCTGTAGGCAAACTGCAGGGGGTCCAGCAGGGGGCCTGTAATGTCCTTCAGGTAGGCCAACACCAGTCTTTCAAAGGACTTCATGACTACAGATGTCAGGGCGACAGGCCTGTAGTCATTTAGTCCAGAGATGGAGGTTTTTTGTGGGACCGGGATGACTGTGGAGCGTTTGAAGCAGAAGGGAACTTCACACAGCTCCAGTGATCTGTTGAAGATCTGAGTGAAGATGGGGGCCAGCTGATCCGCACAGATTTTCAGGCACGATGGTAAGACACCGTCAGGTCCAGGAGCCTTCCTGATCTTCTGCCTCTGGAAGAGGTGGCTCACGTCCTCTTCACAGATTTTGAGTGCTGGTGAGAGGTCAGAGGGGGAAGGTTTGAAGATGGCGTTGGAGTGGGGGAGAGGTGTGACTCTGGGCTTTTCAAACCTACAGTAGAAACCATTCAGCTCGTCGGCCAGTCGTTGAGTACTAGTAGTGTTGGGGGATGGTCTCTTGTAATTTGTGAGTGTCCGTAGGCTTCTCCACAATGACGCAGGGTCGTTGGCTGCAAAGCTGTTATTTAGCTTTTCAGCAAAGCAAGTCTGACGAAGCTGCCTGAGTTTCGTTGTGAACCAGGGTTTCGTCCAGGTCAGTGGCTGCAGCCTCAAAAATACTCCAGTCAGTGCAGTCAAAGCAGGCCTGTAACTCCAGCTTTGACTCGTTTGTCCATCTAGTTTTTGAATGTTTTAAACAAAAATTCTTACATATATCTCATTTAAAGGACTATCGATGCATTTTGTATTTAATTTAAAACATTATTTAAAAGTCATACCTTACAGATTCTTGTTCTCAAAAACTATTGAGAGTGTGGCCCTGTCTGTTGTGATGGGACATTGCTTAGTGACCCCTTTAAAAAAACATGTGTTCCCACATCTCCAAACATACATTAAAATACACACATA